ACAAACAACTCTACTCACATACTACACAGGAGAGAACCAACAAACAACTCTACTCACATACTACAGTGACAGGGGAGAACCAACAAACAACTCTACTCACATAGGACTAGTCTGAAGGTCAAACCAGGGGGGTCGTATTGAGGAGAGGCGAGCGCTTTTCATGCTATGCCAACTGTTTCCCAATGGTGCATTAATTGTATGCTGTATTACATGCAAGGCCCTGTCCCTCGTTCAAATCGTCATATATTGCAAGACTGTATACTGTTATCAAATATAAACGTTATATGATGCGTTTTTATATTATTATTATTATTATTATTATTATTATTATCATCATCATCAAATATAAATAACCTCTTGTTATTATTAACAGAGATATCAACATCCTTCTGATTGGTGACCCCTCTACTGCCAAGTCACAAATGCTCAGGTATTGTTACAATGTAAACAAACATAAGGCCAAATAAAAAAAAAGTGTTTCCTGTTGCATGAGAAAATAATAATTGGGTTCAGTAGGTCGGATTTTTTTTTCTTACTGATACAACAGCTTACTGGGAACCCTGTGGTGCTTTTGAAAATGGAAAAAATATTAGGTTCGGCAAAAATCGGCAAGAAAATTAGGGTTGGTCACGCAACAGGAAACACTTATTTTTTTGTTTGGCCTTACTAGGAAAATATCATATGCTCTTGGCAGGACTTGAACCCATGTCATTGGTATTTTAGATGTGTTAACCACTATACTACAAAGACCAACCATTCTAAAACACAGTCAGTCAAAGAAATATAAAGCAGCTGTTGGGATCCGTGGGTGATATCTTTTCTCTAAGGGAGAAAAAAGTCTAAAAAGTCGAACACTGTAAAGGGGTTATGCAGATAATAGAGTGCAGATAATAATTGATATGTCAGTTGATATGTGTTGTGTTACAAGTTACAAGGCTTAGTACGATTTCTGTCTCAACGAAAGAGTTGACATCAATCAAAAAGTTTCCATGACATTGCGGGAAAATACAAAGTTTACAAGAGCACATGCCTATGTAATGTCATGAAAATGCCTTGATTGAAGTCCACTAAAATCGAGTTTGTTGCATTAGCGAAATGTACAATTTCATGCATGTGATTGGAAGGGGCTGTAATGGTACACTGCGTGTAATAACTAGTAGCTGGGAAACACCAACCGATTGCACAGTTACTTCTATCTATGACAGTTGTTTTATAAAATTTACTAATACCAACCATCTAGGACAATACAGCAACCATCTTCAACAAATACTTGAGATTCTTGGATAATTAATTCTTGGATATTAAAATCTCTGATATGCTTCTAGATATGTTCTACATTGTGCGCCAAGAGCCATCCCAACCACTGGTCGAGGATCATCAGGGGTGGGTCTGACAGCTGCCGTCACTACTGACCCTGAAACAGGTCAGTATTAATATCGTGGTATACCTCCCCCATGGAGGGGTGGGGAGGGTCTGAGGAGGGTATATTATGTAGTACCAGAAAATATCCATACCTCCCCCATGGAGGGGGATTGTGATTTCCAAGGGGTGGGGAGGGTCCGAGGAAGGTATATTATGTAGTACCAGAAAATATCCATACCTCCCCCATGGAGGGGGGATTGGAATTTCCAAAGGGTTGGGAGGGTCTGAGGAGGGTATATTGTGTAGTACCAGAAAATATCCATACCTC